TTTTTAAGTTATTGGGGGTTGGGGGCTTTGTCTCTGCTTTTTAAATAAAAATCTTTGTGGTTCTTTTTCTGTTGACATAACTAATTCTTTTGTAAACTTCCTTCAATATCTAATTTCTCATTTCCTGCCAGCATATTTTCCCCTTCGTTGGCCAGATATGCATCAGGGACACAACGAGAATTAGGTATGGTTTGCAGTAAACACAGCAAACATTTAAAAACAAGAATGTTGACATTGTTTTTCTTTTAATGGGTGTAATATATTATAACATCTATTATTACATCTGCAAAATTAGCATCAAAAATCAGAATTAGCTTTATTCACCATGTTTGTGCACACAAACAAGGAATACAACTCAAAAGATTTTGAACTAAAATATAAAATTTGAATATAAATTGAGGGGGACATTTCTAATCTAACATAGATTAGAAAGCATTTGAAATTTTTTGTTTTCTTCAAAAACGTTTTTGCATAAGCATTGTCTTAACAAAAGTGATATTTTTTTAAGCAGGTGAAATAGTAACATTATCTAAAACTTTACCTTGATACCAGTAAGACACAAACAACATAACTTAGAAACAGAGTAAAATGAGTAATATTTGCATGTTTGCAGGCGAGGTTGGGTTCCTTTTCATATACATACTTATAACTCTTATCAAAAAGACAAAAAACAAAACTTGTTTGAATCAGCTGAGCAAATATTCTGTCCGTAAGATATGCTAATAGACTGCCAAGCGGCTCGGGGAGTGTTGTATGCCAGGAAATTAGGGAAAATAAGGCCCAGTGACTGAGTGTTAAATATATGTTTTATTCATTTTATCAATATTCATTTAATTACTAATTCTACGCTACTTTACCATAAATCAAAAGTAAAGCATGCTGCGATATACAGAAAGTGGGATCTCAAAATCATAAGAAGCAGAAGTAAATAGCTTGCAGTGCAGAGTCCCTCGCTAAGCTGGACGCTAACACATGTTGGACAGTTCACATCACGGCTAAAGATGCTGACATGAATTTTCTTATCTCTTGTCAGATCTTCTGTTTTTGTTCCTGTTTTTCTCCACAGTGAAGGTGGAGCTGTAATCGCCACAGTTGTTCTCCACCACTGACAATAGGCAAGCACAGATAAAGACAATACACAGTCATCGCCTCCTCCTGCTCTGCGGTCAGAGATCTAAAAAGGAGTTAAACCACGAAACTACTTGCAGTTCTGGGGTTTGCACGTTAGAGACGTAGTCATTCGGGTCGTCCGGTCTTCATATTCTAAGATTTTATAGTACCAATATTTATTAGATAGCTTTTTATCTTCCTCTCTATGTCCTCCTGATTATTTAACAGCTTGTAGAATCACTTTCAGTACTAATAACTTGAAGTAAGTGTTTTCTAGAAGACTTTGTCAGTCACTCACATCTAAAGGAAAGGAAACTTTCAGCTGGTTTACCATGCCTGTCCAGATAGATCTACTCTGCTGATGTTTGTTAATGCACAGCTCACTTCAGGTTAAGCTGGCCTTAAATGCAACTCTGGAGTATTTTGGTATAAGATACACCTGTCTAATGGCTGCCAAATCATTGCACTTTCTCCACCTTGTTTAATAGTATAATGTGCTCATATTGATGCTGGTCTCCTCTTTCCAAAAGACACAGTTTAGGAAGTCTTTCAGTTTATTCAGGTGCACTTTGCACCTGAATAAATCCCAACTTCCTCTTTGTTTTATTAACTGTATTAACAATAAAAAAAAAATCTATAGATCTCAAAGCAAAGCATGATCTAAACTTGGGGTGAATCTTTAGGTAGGTTCCTCAACTCCTGAAAAGATTGATAGTTAAGAAAAATGTCTCCATATCTAAATCATTGTTCTCACTGTAGAGTAATAAGTCTGAGATATTTTGGAAATGGCTTTAAACCCCTCGTGTTGAGCACCTGCATGCTCCAGACCAGCCAGTTAGCAGAATGACTTCTTTCGTAGAGGAAGTCACACTTGCCAGTAATGAATTGATCGAGAGCGATAAATGTCACTGAAACAGCAACAGTGAGCTTACTTTTCTACGCAAAGCTTTTCTATTTTAGTTTTGCTTTTGCTTTGTAAACAACAAGAAAAAGAGAACATTTAATGAGATCAGCTTTATTATGACCTGACAGATAAAACCCTGCAGGTGAAAGAGGTTGTGTGATATAATGCATTTTGTGAAATGTAAAGGAACCTTGAAAAAAAAAAACAAAAAAAACTGCTTGTTTTTTTTCCAGACAGAAGAACTGAATTTGGAGGAGCATTAATGGGCAGATGAGGAAGAGGAGGAGGAGGAGAAGATGAAAATAAACAAGTTCAGGGCGCAGCGAGAGGGAAAGAAAACAGGACACGGACAGAAAAAGGAGGAACTGCATTATTTGTGGTTGTCTCGGCATTGTGTACACTTTGAATGCCTGGGTGGAACCGCCGGTGTTTAGTACAATTATTTAACACGGCGCTGACCCGCTGCAGGAAATCTGTGCCGTTTGGTGGACCCTTTTATTCGTTTACGCCTAACAGTAGCGCAAGCGCACTCGTTTTCGTTTTAGCGGCCCCCATGGGGAATGACCTTCTCCATTCACTGTACTGCTGTGTGTGTTTTGGCTGACATTATGTTTTTAATAAAAGAGATTAAAATGCTTTGCCACGGAAAAGTATGCTGACATTTAGTCGCCCCGCATACCTTTACACATTAACTCCTTTCAGAGAACAACTGGGGCTGAAATAAGGGAGTGTGTGTGTTTATATATATATATATATATATATATATATATATATAGCATGTTTGGTCTGCGGTAATGATGAAGAGCAGATGCTAGAGGTTAATGATTATCTCAGGGGACATTTAGACTTCATTTATTAAGACATTCTTCCTCCTTGTTTGCTCACGATAATACGGCTACTCTGCTGTTGTGAGGTTTTCTTATGTAAAGAAAAAAAACTACTGAACACGAGGAGATCCTTTCAAACTAGCAGACTCTTCTTGTGCACTAAATTTACAAGAAGTAGAAATTATAGCGTCCATTAGATGCCTTGCTTTAGTGTTGCAAAGCCGCTCTGCTGCAGTCGTATTCAATACCCCACTGGGCATTTTTCACTGTTACAATCACAAACTGTGTTTTGTGGGATTTTATGTGACAGAAAACCACAAAGTAGTGCATAGCTGCAAGGTGGAAAGCAAAGAATGAATAGCTTTCAAAGTTATTACTAATGAAAATCTTAAAATTATGTCATGCATTGTGTTCAGTCACCTCTGAGTGAATACTTTGCAGAACCACCATGGATTTCCTCAAGTAAAAAAATAATTTAAAAAATAGATAAAATACAACCCCATACCACAATGCCTCCATCACCATGTTTTAAGGTGGTAATGGTGTGTTCAGGGTGATTCACTGTGTTATTTCTTCACCACAAGTGGCATTGAAATTATACACTTTGGTCTCAATATGTTCTCTTTGTCCCTTATAAGGTTTCTGTGTGACTGCAAACAGGACTTCTTATAACTTTACATCAAAATGACTTTTTTCTTGCTGCTATTTTTGAGATTTAAGCTAAAATGCATTAACTAAAACATCATTAGGGTTAGTTAAAAGTCCAACTTTTATTCACTTTCCCTTGTAATGCCAGTAGAATGTAGCCTTTGCTTGTTTGTTTTATGTTTTAATCATGTAACACACTTTGAATGACCTTGATGCTGAAATGTGCCATGCAAATAAACACAAGTTAAGACTACACACTGCTTTGTGTTGGTCTGTCACACTATTTTACTTAAACGTACACTGCCGTTTGTGGTTATAGTGCAACTAAATGTTTTATTCCTTTATAAAAATTCAAAAAGTGTGGGATTGACTTGTATTAAGCCTCCACCTTGGATCAATATATGGTAGAAACACTTTTACGTTCCCTTATCCTGCTCAGAAATTTAGACAGCAAGATGCTGCCACCACCATATTTCACGGAGAGCGCTCTGAGTGACTGTAACGTGACAAAATGTATAGTGTAGAGAGTTGGAAGTTCGCTACAAATAATCTAAATTTCACAAACTAAAGTGTGTGTGTTTCACCCAATATATTGCGGGCGGTGAATTTGGGGTAAACAGATGTGCTCGAGGCAGCAGGAACGGAAAAGATGAAAACACGAATGCAAGCAGGAAGGATTGATGGGAAAACTGCGAAAGCTTTCACTCACAGGCTCCGGCATGACGTAGTGCCTCTCGAATTCCTGAGTTATTACTTAAAGATGTCTGCTTGTCGTTTCCTCTCTTGCTTTCCAGCGCTCCGTGCCTATCGCGCTGCCTAAACCCGATGCAGCAGCAAATGGAGACAAATGCTTGTCAGTTCATTGGAGCGGTCGTGGCGTGTGAAGAAATTCCAATTGGAGCAGGCACATTTCACTGCAAATTATGTTTTATTTAATCACGGCGAACGAGACAAAAGCGATTGTGATTCGGTCTGGATTTAAGACGTGGAAGCGGCCAAATATGAGAAACAAATTGGATTATTGAACGACGCCGCCGCCAAACATTTTCCCCCTTAGATGTCTGATGATTGAGGGTGACGGGATCCAGTCAGTCAGGCTCAGTCCTGAGACTTTGGTTCCAGGACTTGGTCAGAAACAGACTTTCTGTCTGAGTGAACACAAACACACACACACACACACACGCACTCACTGACACTAAACACACACACATACACACACACATACGCTGTTCCCACTTTCAGGGAAGCTTCTGAGTAAGGAGGAAAGTCAACGGAGAAATTTACAGAGGAAGCAAGGCGTAATCTATGAATTATATATACGCACTGAGACTATGATTTCACTCAGAGGAAAGCCCATTCTCTAACCCCCACTTTCTCCCACTCCTGTTAGGCATTAGTCCACGGCTCCGTTCCCTCACTAGTAAAAGTTAAGTCCGTGACAACTTTCTGATGTCATTTTAATGTTTTTTTCCCCCCCTCCTATGTGTGTGTGTGTGTGTGTGTTGCCACAGGTGGAGGTGGAAAACGGAAAGGCAGGAGTAAAAAATGGAAGGAGATCCTTCGCTTTCCTCACATAAGCCAGTGTGCTGAACTGGGAAAAATCATCGGTAGGTTCTAGTGCTCTCTCCTGCTGTGAAGAGGGTGTGTTTGGCTGTTGGAGTTTCCGAATGCTCCGTGTTAAAGTTGTTTTCTTTTTTTAATTATTATTATTATTTTATACTTTTGCAGAGAGGGATTATGCCAGCATCTGCGACAAGCAGCCTATTGGACGGCTTCTCTTTCGTCTTTACTGTGAGACCAAACCCAACTTGCAACGATGCATCCAGCTGCTGGACGCAACGGTACCATGAACACGCATTTAATGGGCTTTTTTTTTTTTCACTCGAGGTTTTCCTTTATTAATTGATTTATGTGGAAAAGAAAAAAAAAATTGGAAAGTACAAATTGAGGTTTTCAACCTTTCAACCTTGCCTAAATTTTTTACTATTAATCCTTTCATGTATTTCTTATTTTTAATGTGGCTTTCTTTACTGTTGTTAGAATTACTTTGTGAATGGATGGAGCTACATACATAAACATGCCCTCTACTGCCTCAATCGAAGGCTGGGTGTAGAAAAGGCTTTCAGTCTCAAACTTTGCAGTAAGAAGATGTCTGTTTATATAGAATAATCCAGTCCAGGCATTTGAGATGATCAAACATGGTGTGGGTTCTCTTAAGAAAACACATGGAAGTAACAATTTAGTTGAGGAATGAAGGCTTCACTAACCTACGAACTTATTCAAAGAATCTTTTAGTGTAGAAGTATTAGGGTCAGATTTGATTACGCTGAATATTTAAGATAAAGAGTTAGAGTTGCACAACAGCGGCCCAAATTCCTTAAAAAGTCAAAAAAAAAAAAAAGTCTTTCACTTAGTGTCAATAGAAAGAGCTGTTGCAAATACTAACTTCAGTTTTGTTAGCAGCTAATTGTTAGCCAGTGGCTTTAGGATTTGTCCCTGTAATTCACCCTTTCTTATCAAATGTTAGGAGCACTCACGTCACTCCACGTCATCATCTGGGTTGTTAACTTTTTGTTCCCCATTAGGCCTGAATTTTTTTTTTCTGTGTGAGTGATTATCATTTCCAGTGCCAAGGCCAAATTGACGTCCTCAATAAATAAACGAGGACATGATTAAAAAGCGCATGAATAAAATGGTCTTTAGGTTTTCCAGTGACTCCAGGTTTGGGAAAATGGAATGCCAGCCTCCAATCCCAGTTTTTTGTCAAAACGTCTTGTACTTTTCTGCTTTTAAATTATCATTGAAATCATTAACTTATTGTCGACAGTGGCGGGTCAGTTTCTGATTGTATAGTTCTTTAAATCTGAGCTGTGACAGATTCAGGACAGAAGGTGTGAAGTGTCCTAGTGAAGGTCAAGGAAGGTGCAAGGCCACAGGACTTTCACATCACCTTCCAGGGTCAAGCCTGGACTGATCAGCGCTCACATCCTGTTTGACAACGCCAGGCTGTTGGCAAAGACTGCAATTATGGGACAAACTTAATTTTGTGAGCCCAGTGTAGACGAGACAGTCAAGAGTTTTCTAAAAGAAGGTTCAATTGCAATAAAACTGTTATATCAAAGGAATAAAAAAAAAGAAAACTAAAAAGACGAAAACAAGAATTATTTCCTTTCTTACTACAAAATAAGAGCCACAAAGACACAAAGAAGGCTAAAGCTCAAAGCATTTGCCCTCATATCTGAGAATTATAATTATATCTTAGGCTAAAACAGCGGCTGAATAGCGCTTTGCGAGAGACTTTTTCTGGTTACACCCCCAACGATTAATGATTACAGAGGGATATTATGTCGGGCTGTTGTTGCAGGAAGGAGCGTTCTGTTTTATACGTCCTCACAGTAAAAGAGCTGAAGAAAGCTCCCGTGGAGCTGCGATGTTTCTTCCGCTGTGTCTGAAGTCTGCCAGGCAGTCTGAAACCTGATGGAGTCTGAAATGTTTTCCTGCAGACACGTCTCGGTGGAGTGCAACGCTGCATCTCTGCACATGCAGACGCAGACTGATATGCAGAGACCTTTACTGCCATTATGCACTTATCAGCGTTTTTGTTCTTAGTCTGTTTTTGTGTACCAGGGATCTCATGTTTCACATAGTGATAACTTAAAGAAATTATTTAAACTTCCTCCACCACACTCCCCCTTTCTGCAGCTTCGTCACCACCACGATGTTTCCTCCTCAGCCCGTTAGGGATCTGGCAGTCCTATTTTGAACATTTGTTGAACTTTGGAAAGTTCAGTCAGCTGCTTCTGCTTGTAAACAACTTTCCCGTTGGCATGGTTATTCGTCATATCAGGTTCGCCAGACATAAAACCCCACTGGATGTAGCCCGGGGCTAGCACAGGATCCATGTAATGAGAAAGAAATCCTTCAGTGGAAAGTTAAATCAAGCAGCGTAGCAAAGATAAACAGAACGTTACAAGAATTAATGCAGTAGATACCAGCATGGAGCCACACTAGGAATTTTCTCTTGAATGCTAATGGCGGTGGGGGAGAGAGTGTTTACAAGAGTGGGTGAAATGTGTTGCAAGTCTGGAGTGAAATATCGGTGCTAAAATTGTTATATGTAACAGTATTATATTAGAACAGGGTTGAATTAGAGTTGCTTAGGTAGGAATCTGAAAATGAATCAAACTGATATTGATCAGATCTAAATTGTCTTCAAGAAGGAGTTAGTTTCGAATATCTGCCATTCACAACTAATTGTCGGAAAGAGCCGGATCTTCTTAAAGAGACAGAGGCCCGACAATCTCAAATTTCTTATAAGTGGTGTTTGACATTTACAGCAGCCGAAGGCAACATGGATTGTTGATTTTGCTATAACTGTGTGTGAGGAATATACACAACAGTTCCCCTTTAAACTGCTTGTGACCATCTCTGTAAAGGACAGCAAAAGACAAATGTTATCTGAGTGGAAGAAAAAAGAACAACAACAGCGTCAGTCAACAAACCAACTATTTCAGTGAACTATTCTGTTTGCATTGCAGTTCAACAGAGCTTTGGCTACTCAAACAGGCAGATCTCCTGGTCGTTTACCTCCCTCCCAGCCCCGCACTCCCATTTCTCACTCCTCGTCTAGACTAAATACCTCCCACATGACACATTTAAGTCTTTATCTATCAACACCCAGAATATCTATGTGGGACATGTGACAGGTCAGAAAGGACAGCATTGTTTCCCCGATCCCAGAACACCCCTTCTCCCTTCCGCTGCTCTGCCTTCTTGTGACCACCTACTCCAAAAAAGCGACCACCTCTGCAAGGGGGAAACCACTCACACTCACTCATCCCAAACACAGGCCGGGGCTAATTCTGCACTCGGCCCATGTGACGAACTCTGACGCTGCGCTTATTGTTGGGCATTATTTGTGGCACTCAATAAGCCGGGTCTGTGTGCGGCTACAGCCAAGCGGATCCTTGTGCATCGAGTGATTAAATAACACCGCTGCGCGCTCTGAGCGGTTGTGAGGCTCGCTCGGCATGTTACGCAATCTAGTCGACGTGCTATTCAGAAAATTTTATAAACAAGTGGGCAATTAGCGGGAAAGGAAAATGAGGAGGAGAAAGCCTGAATGTGTGTGTGTGTGTGTATTTTTTTTTTAGTGCTTAGGGAATGTACTCTGGGGGCTTCCAGAGAACCATCCTGCATCACAAGTGTGTGTGCGTGTGTGTGTGTGTGTGTGCGCGTGTGCATGTGTGTGTGTGTGTTGGAACCCCGCTGGTTCCAAAAAGCCAAAGGGGCGTCTCCTTTCCCCTTCGTCTGACCCCCACCAGCAAAGGGTGGGAGTCAGACCGCTATTTTACTCTTGGTTCAAGTGCCTGTTTGTGTGTTTGTCAGATGAATGTGTGTGTATCATCAGTGAAACTTCTGTTAACAGTCACTATTCTTCTTCTGTGTTTCTTTGTGTACAATAGATATTTGTTATAGTTTTATTTTTATTTTTTTTGGTGTGTTGCTTTGTGGTGTTTCAACCGAGCTCTTGGCTTTTGTGTGTATGCCATGTATGTGTGTGTGTGTGTGTGTGTGTGTGTGTTTTGTAGTGGAAATCTGGTGACACTGGTGTGACACACTGTGACACTCCAGGACCTCAAGGAATCCCACTGTGTTTACTGCGGGATTGCCAGGCAACGCCGACCCATGCTGGAAAAAGCCCAGCGAGTAGAAAGGCAAGGACCAGTTTGCATCACGGACGCCATGTTGTGTCGCCCTGTCCCTCCGCAGAAGTTGAAAGCGCTGGCTGGGAAACGCATCAGAGCGCTTTCACGTCACTGCCTTTGCGAAATGTCCAGCGCGTCCAGCGGACAATTGCCTGTTTTTCTCAGTGAAAAGAGCAGAGAAGCAGCGTATGTTTATGTGAATGAGACTGTCAGAGGTCTTTTTCACAGAAAAACAGCTTTTGCTTTATCCAGGATTCTTCTGTGGACAAACTTCACACTTTTCCAGACTTTAATTTTCATTTTTCTCAGATATTTGGTGTGACTTTAAAATATGAAATACAGATGTTCACAGTGAATTTATGACAATTGACAGGCTCTACATATGGCATCAACCAAAAGCCAAAACTTAAATGAAGAAACTGAGGTAGCATTTTCGGACGGACGCTACCTCCGTCCTCCGGTCATCAGGAGATGAACTTAATCTCTCGTTTATTTTTATGGACACTTGGAAAAGAAAATTTCTGACTTTTCCGAACCTTAGATCCACTAAAGTATGTATTAAAAATCTAATTTATGAAAGTGAAAAGTTAGCTTTTTATTTGACTTGGGTAACTTCACTTGAGCATCTAGTTTTTATCTTTTTGCAGTTTCACACTCACAAGTCCATTTCATCCATTCATGTAGACACATTTATACAACAAGGTCACGTTTTCTCTGAGTTTCCTGCCGTGATTCATAATTATATCCTGATTCTAATCAGCTCGTTGTTCTCACCTGTGCTGCTACCTCTATAAACTCCAGCTCTGCATTCAGTCATTTTAATGTTGTCTGTCATCATGCCCTGACTCAGGCTGAGAGGGGTCGTGGCTGATATCCTGATTGTGTATCTGGCTTGTTTCTTCTCTTCTGGCTGTCGCCTTTGCCTGCTTTCTGACTGCATTGAGTGTTTTTCTGCTGGATGTCTATCACAGCCTCACAGATTTTGAATTTGTCCTAACTCTTCCCCACTTTCTGTTACCGACCTGGACCACTTAAGGTTACAGTGATTATTCGCTTTCCCATGGATAAAACTGGGCTTTGTGTTCTCCACGGCTTCGTCCCTTTTTGATTTTCAGTGCATAGACTTCTCTGCTCTGTCTTGCGGGTGGAACAATCCCGATAATCTGACCCTTTTCCTTTCTCACACCGTCAAAGCTTGAGGTATTCCAGACAATCAAGGTCCGATTCTCTGAGGAAAGCCTGGGAAACCACTTCTGCCAGATAAACAATTACTTCCTGTTTGAACATCCTAGCTGAATGCCAGTCACTCACCATCCGGTCTCTATTGCAGAGTCTGGCCTGAAAGCTGAACCCAACCAACAGCCTCGTTCCTGCTTACACATTTATACAATTACTGCCAGTAAAGACTGTTTAAACGTTGCGGGGATTTGATTTCCGTTTGGGGTTCATATTATACATCCCAATATTCTAGTTGGAAGCGATGTCTGACGTAGTGCTCGTTTAGCATGTGATAACCTCAAACACACAACTTCCAAATAGCCACATAATTAATTTACAATCATGAGACCAAATGAAGCATAAAGGATTTTAATTATCCATTTGACCTGGTGGTTTTTAAAGAGTATTTGATTCATAGAGAAACAAGTTTAATGATTTTTAAAGTAAAGAACTGAATGCACATGTTCGAAATCATAGATTTTTCTTTCTTGTTCATTCATTACAAAAATGACACATTTAGGCCCAAATATAAGCAGATTGGTTATATTAACAAATTGCACCACATGCTTTTTGCAATCATTAACAAGTGTTTTTGGTAAATTCTGGCTGAATATCTGACCACTCCTGATGATGGCTAGAAGGTTTCGAGTTCATTCAAAGTTATTTGTCTGATATGGACGCAAGAGAAAAAGCCCCTTATTCAAATTACATACACTGAAGCCTGACTGAAATTTGCAGATGTCCACATCAGTCAGTGTTAATACCTTCTTGAGAGTTTCATAGTGAGACAAGTTGAAGAGTAAGTGAGCTGTTTAGTCTCAATGACGAAGAAAGTTTGAAGGACTGCTAAGCATGGTAGTGGTAGCTTAAGGCTGAGGTTTTTTTTTGCTTCTAGTACTACTGAATATGCACTGAAAGAGCAGGACTATCTCCAAATTCTTCACATCTAAGTTTCTAAAATCTTGGACAAAAAACTGGATTTTCTAACAGGATATTGAACCCATAACCTCTTTTTTTTAAAAAAAATATGTGGAGGATGATTAAAAGCACAATCTCTTCCCAGGAAAACAGCCGATTTAAATGTGTTTCTGCCATTTTGCATAATAGGAGTTGTTGGGAGTGTATGTCTAATTTTGAGTATAAGCGTTAGGAAAGATTAACAATAAAATTAAACTTATTTTTCTTTTTGTTTTTAAATCCTTTGAAATAATATAATGTCTGATCACTTCAACCTTAAAAACAGAACTGTGCAGGCAAGTTATTAAAAAAGAAATTAATAACATGCCAACGATTGTATCTGCAATGTTCTTAGGCAAACTCTTTACACTTACCTAAAACTACTTTGGGGGTTTTTAATGTTTTTTTTGTTTTTTTTGTTTTTTACTGTTTCCACGACACCGTGCAACAGGCCTCTTTCTATGAGAGTTCTTCAGAAACTCAACAGACGTGTTGTTTTTTACTTTCTGGTAAAAACCTAAGTCATTAACAGGTCTGGTCATGATTCCACCTGTGATAGTCATGCTATGTGAAATGTGGCCTCACAGAAAATGTCAGCACAAGAATAATTTTGATAAGGAAATGCAGCACAAGTCATGACCATGACATTACTCATGCTTCTGTTTTGCATGCATGTGTGTGTGTGGTTTTTTAGGAAGACTATGAGGTTACACCTGATGAGAAAAGAAAAAGCAGGGGGGAGCAAATCATCAAGACCTTCCTTTCAAAACAAGTAAGTTTCCCTACCGTGTGTTTTCATACCTCACCACCCTTTGAGGTTAACACTTTACTGCGAAAGGGAAACTTATTACCTTTGACAGGTTGTCATGAGGGGGAACAAAAACGAATCAGAGGCAAAAATGACACTGAAATAACGTAAAGGTTTAAAAATGAACGCACTTGTTAAATCTATCAGAAATTAAACCGAATACACACGATTGCAGGCCGTTCTGCGTTTCTCCTTATCTTGAAGTGTTGCATACATTAGGAGGTGATGGATTTGTGTGTATCTGTGCATACTTGTGACTGTGTGTGTTTACATGTGTTGATGCAGTCACCTCAGCGAGTAGACATAGCCGAGGTTTTTGCAGAGCAATGCAGAGAAAACCTGGAGCTCAGTCCATGTAAGGAGATCTTCAGCGACTGCCGCAAGTGAGACGCCATTTACTCACTCTCACCTGTTTGTCATGTGACCAGATTTTTAACCACTCTCTCTCTCACTCATTTCTCACGCTGAAATTTAGTCCATGTGGTATGATCGGAGAGGTTTGACTGTGTTTTTTTTTTTTTTTTTTTTTGTGCCAGGGCAGTCCATGAGTACCTGAGTGGAGCTCCGTATTCAGACTATCAGAACAGCATGTACTTCGACCGCTTTCTTCAGTGGAAGATGCTGGAGAGGTTTGTTGGGTTTTGTTTCGACGCCTTGTGGAAAACAAAACTGAACGGCTAGATAAAATGAAATAAAATCAACGTTAGTCTTAAAGGTCATGCCGCAAACCAGCTGGAAATGTTTTGCAACAGAAGATTTATTAGCTAAATCAGTTTAGGCGAGGTGAATTGTTAATATCTGAGATTTTATTGTTGCATGTGTCGATGCTTCGAGATAGAAAGTAGGTTGTAAAGCTGTTGCATTATTTACTTTAAGTGACATTTTATCTACAGCTTGTAATTCTGCAAAACATTTGCTATCTTTAGGATTAGAAGTATGATACAAAATGCCAAAACCTATACTGTATAAATCAGACTTGTTGAAACCAGCGGGGGAAAATGCCTTATAATAAATTAATCAAGCCTTAAACTCATTCTTTCATTTTTGCATGTTTAATTTAATCAGTGTGAGAATAAGTATTGTAGTAAGTACGGTGAACATTTGTGATGCTGTGGGCTATTTTGTCCTTCAGTCATATAAAGTATCACCATCAGAGGTATCAGTATCAGCACATATGACTTTGTTAAAATCATATTTCTGAACTCTAATAATACTCTCTGGCATTTTGAAAGAGAAAGGAGCCCACAGGATCATAACTCCTCCACCATGCTTGGTACTATAATGTATTCCTTTACTGAGTTAATATGCAGAAATTAAATGTTTAAGATGTCTAAATGTTTCAGTGTGAGATTATGCTAATGCAGTAAAAGATGGATGTCTTAAAAACTTTCATGCATCTGAGCAGCCAATAATTTGAAAGGCGCTGCATATTTGTAACGGAATCCTTTAAATTATAGTGCGGAAGAAAAACTATGCAGTAAGGGCCAGATGTGCGTCAATACAGAAAGTAAGATAAAAATCTGTGGTTGCTTCTTATCATTTCTGTTTTTGTTAGTAAGGTTACTTCAGATTTGCATGAAAAAAAAAAACAAAGTGAGTGGTTTCTTTTAAGGGTATTTAATAAATGTCGATTTGGAGCCGAAATGTATATCCCGGCTGATTCCAGTCAACGTTTCTGTCTCTGTCTCTGCCTCTGCCAAGACTTTATGTGGAAGCGTAAACCTTTCCAAACATTCTCTGAATGGAACATCCGTCCTAAATATGTCAGATAATAAATCGGTTTTGGTTACTATTTGCATTCATTTTCGGACAGGATCTACACCCCCTGCTGTGAAAATATTCTATGCAAAACACATATTAAGGTCATTCAAAGTAGGCAGCAGGCTCTCAGGGCGGTATTGATTGCATCTTCTGTCTCGACAGTGAAATTTCGCCCAAGAAGCCCCACCCTCTGTACAGGAAGCAGAGTCAGGATGGCATTGAGCTCCGCAGATGATATCTCTGACTTGATCGATACCACATAACCACCTATTAATGGATTCTGTTGTATCTGTGTACCGTCAGGCAACCGATCACTAAAGACACATTCAGACAGTACCGGGTGCTGGGAAAGGGCGGATTTGGGGAGGTAAGAGAAGCGGCTGGGCGCCACATCTAAAAAAAAAAAACACATTGGGAATTTTCCTTTGACACACTGGACAATATTCTTGCCGTCCTCCGCAGGTGTGCGCATGCCAGGTCAGAGCAACAGGCAAGATGTACGCCTGCAAGAAACTGGAGAAGAAGAGGATCAAGAAGAGGAAAGGAGAGTCCATGGCTCTGAATGAGAAGCAGATATTGGAGAAAGTCAACAGTCGGTTTGTTGTGAGTAAAAGTCATTTGCTTGAACGTGCAGCTGCGGGATTTCATCCCCGTTTGTGTCAGAACGCGGTTTCCCCGCGTCACGTCGCACGTCTCCGTCTTTCCTCAGGTGAGCCTGGCGTACGCGTACGAGACCAAAGACGCACTGTGTCTGGTGCTGACCATCATGAACGGCGGCGACCTGAAGTTTCACATCTACAACATGGGCACGCCGGGCTTTGACAAAGACAGGGTCCAGTTCTACGCTGCTCAGATCTGCTGCGGACTCGAGCATTTGCACAGGGAATCTATTGTCTACAGGTAGCAATCTCATGTGCACAAATCTGGCAACGCTATTCCTCCACTCTGTATGTGAAAGATTGATGACTGGTGATTCTTTGCTGCTTTTAGGGATTTGAAACCAGAAAACATCTTATTAGATGATAATGGTAAGTTTTCTGATCAGATTTCAAGTTATAACAAATAATGCCATTTTTACAACCTTTACATTCATACTAATCATGGGCATGAATGAAGTTATTTTCAAAAACACAAACTGGATGTTCAAGTTTGCATTTTTATTGTGGGTTTCCGCTGATCTACAAATTATATATACAGGTGAAAATATACACACACAGCCCCAGACAAACCACACACACAATTTAGCCGCCAAAAAGCTTCTGGCTTAATTCTGAACGTATTTTAGACTTGTTCCTGGCAGAACATGGCTAGTTTATTTAAACTAGTTGCTCTCCTGATGCAGACCAGACTTTTGAGATCAGGAAGGTTAATGTTGTCCTGTTTAACTCCATTGCTAAACCAGTTTTAAAGTGTGTTTGGATTGTTGTAGGAAAACCCAGTTGTGCCCCCGGATTCGTCTAGCTGGTTTATATTTAAGTTAAAGAATCTAGTCCTTTGCTTTTATTATCTGTCAACTTTGTGCGATGCACCACTACCACAGGCACTGAAACAGCCCCTCAGAATGAAGCTGCCACCACCGTGCCTGACAGTTTTTAGTGTTCCTGTGTCTGAAAGTGTATGTGATTGTTAATACGCTTGTTGTCGTTGTGGCTAAAAAGCAAACATTTTAAAGGTCCCGTCTGACCTTTAAAATGTTTATCCAGTAGACATTTAGTTTGAAAGCATGACTAAAGTGACCAGCTCTCATTCTCTCAGTATTTGCTGATGTGAAACGGTGTAATCTCGGCCACAGACATCCCTGGATATGCATATCGCACCTGCTACTTTATGTATAACTTGTGCAGATTGGAGAAAAACTTCTTCGAATTCAATTGTGTACATTAATTCATTGTTTTTGAAAATATTTTCATTTTCAGTGAAATCATTCCAGGTTGAGAAAATAATTGCTAAAATCCCCAAATTAATCAGACATTCATGCCAACGATTAGCGTATGAAGCTTTTCTCCGACGCTGGAGGACAGTACTTTGTTTATTTAACTAATACCTCATAATTGTAGTAAAATGTAGAGTTATATTACATTTAATGGTTTTAAAAGCTAATTAATTTATGTACCTGATAATGTACCTGCTGCTTTGTTGCAGGACACATTCGGATCTCTGACCTGGGGCTGGCCATCAAAGTGCCTGAAGGAGAACTCATCAGAGGCAGGGTGGGGACAGTAGGCTACATGGGTAAGAAATAACTCGCTAATGACACACTGACAAAACAAGCTGTTGGGGGAACAATAAAATATGTGCAACATTTTATTTCTGAGAAGAAACCATGGAAATTTACCAGCTAAAAAAGTTTCATTCCAGGTATTTTTTATACATTGATGGAATTTACTCGACTAATCTAGGTAAAATCTAATTATTAGTAGTATTATTCAGATCACTTGGTTAATTTGCCCTGTCTTTCCATGTTATTAAAAAATAAAATTGGTTTGTGGCTAAAATATTACTCTGATAGTTGTAGCGTTTTTTCCTGACAACCACAGCTAGGGGGCGCTGTTTACTGCCGAAAACTTCCTTGGGCATGCTAGCAAACTTTAACCTCAACACGTTAACAAGTTTGGCCATCAACGTGCAAGCAAGTTGCTAAACTACCCCTAAAACATAGATATTTCTCAACCACAGTAACAATTCATAACTTTTCTTCAATTTATGAATTTAGTCATAATACAACCCACATAAACAAATTGCTTGCTGCTATGTGGTGGACACCAGAACAGGCAAATGGGATAAGCTAACATCTGACACACAGTGTAAAACCTGGGATACTGTTGTCATTATATTAACAAACTCTTCTTATAGCTTTTTTTCCCCTCCTCTTTGCAGCTCCAGAGGTGATCAACAATGAAAAATATGCCATGAGCCCCGACTGGTGGGGACTGGGCTGCCTCGTTTACGAGATGACCGCGGGACGATCGCCCTTTCGTGCCCGGAAAGAGCGAGTGAAGCGGGAAGAAGTGGAGAGAAGGGTGCAGGAGGAAGAGGAGGAGTACAACGACAAGTTTACAGAGGACGCAAAGGCGATCTGCAGAATGGTGAGGCTGGATGAGACGCTGTGTGTAGAGGCAGAGAGATAGATAAGTGATAAATATCCTGAATGACTCATCTCTGTGCTTCTGCCTGGCCAGCTGCTCACCAAAGACCCCAAGCAGAGGCTTGGGTGTAACGCGGATGGAGCAGCGGGCGTCAAGGCCCACTCGTTCTTCAAAAACATCAACTTCAAGAGGATGGAGGCCGGAATTGTAGATCCTCCCTTCGTGCCTGATGTGAGTGCTTGGTTGTTATGGTGTGCTCAGATATATCAGTGATAAGTGTTCTGCTAATTTCCCTCTCGACCCTGTCTTTCTCCCCCCGGTCATTCCCCTGTCCCAGCCTCGGGCCGTGTACTGTAAGGACGTTTTGGACATAGAGCAGTTCTCCACTGTCAAGGGAGTAAATTTGGACCAAACCGACAACGACTTCTACTCCAAATTTGCTACGGGCTGTGTTCCCATCCCATGGCAGAATGAGGTGAGCCAGGCATCCCTAGATGCTCCGTTCACTTTCAAATCAGCAAACGTTTGACATTCCCTGTGTTTTCGTGTCCTCTGTTTCCTCCTCTAGATGATAGAAACGGAGTGTTTCAGAGATCTGAACGTGTTTGGGCCTCAAGGGACGAGACCTCCCGATCTGGACTGGAATCAGCCGCCGGAGCCACCCAGACGTAGCCTGCTGGACAGGATCTTCAGGAGGCATGTAAGCGGATGTGAGCGCACATACGGTGGAGGATCCGGACGGGCTCGCTCAAACTAACCCGTCTCTCTCCTTGCTTCGCCACAGCACCCAGATGTGTCCATCTCCAACAGCCGTGTGCAGTCTTCCAGTGTAAATTCTGTGGACTCCATGTCCAACTCTGCCCCCTAGTGGCACAGCGGACAGTGTGGGACCTACTTAAACCACAAACGTACTCTCAAGAAGGGAAGGAGCTCGGAAGGGCTTCCCTGTTGCTGATTGGTCCGCAGCTCAAAGGCCTGAGCAGCAGCTGGAGACAGCCTGTTTGAAAGCCTAAATGGTCGGGAAGGGAGGGCAGGGGACAGGGTGGGGGGATTGACCGGGCCCTGAGATCCTGGGCATTAGTAGTAGGACACTTGATGTTGTGGAGATGTTTGGAAATATTCAGACAAACCTTACTTTCCCTCAGGATTGTTGGACTGTAGAACAGAGCCACTGTTGTTGTTCTTGAACCAGAAAAAGGATTTAAAAAACAAACTGATAATCAGGGGATTCACTGTATAATAAAGACCACCACAGGGAATAAAGGTTGGGTAGGGGTGGGTGGGGGTAAGGGTAAGTGAATTTTGTTTTTCAAAGAATAAAAAAGGGTCTTTTTTTTTTTTTTGCTTTAATTTCAGTCTTGTACTTTCTGGCTTGTATCTTGTACCAATTTCTCTCTCATCTCTCTGCTTTCCCCTGACGTGTCGCCATCTGCACAACTCTTAACTTATTCTTTCTCCGTTCTTCACCTTCCAGACCTCAGATCAGTCCTAAACATTCAGAACACGCCACCTCAGCAACCTCAAACGCACGATGTACATTGCCTTCGCGTACACTCAGGCCAAAGATTGCGGTTCTAGTTTTGTGATACTGTTGTCATGTTGAATTGTTGATTTTTTGAAGGTTTTTAGCTGTTGTGTAGAACTACAGGAGGATCAGAATGTGTGATCCCATTTATAGACTTTTCTTTAAATATGAGCCTGCAGACATATCATACAGCTTCAAGCACACACTCATACACACACACGCATACAGTACAGCGCCTTCCAGAACTATCCGTACCTCCTGAATACGTCATTGTCAATTACAACCACAAGCTTCACTGGGTTTCTTTGGGAGTTTATGATTGACTGACACGATGTAGCCCATGGTATGTCGTTTTAAACTTTATTTAAACTAAAAATCTAAAAAGTGTGGCATGCATTTGCATTAACTCCTCCAGTAAATATTTTATTGAACCACCTTTTGCTGCATTTGGTGTACGCCTCTTACAGCTTTTTCACATATTTTTGCCAGTTCTACTTGGCGAAACACCTTGAACATTTTCAGATATCTGAAGACGCTCAACTGGATTCAGACTTTATCTTGGCATTCCACTGCAGCTGTGGTTCTGTTCAGGGTCCTGGTTCCACTGGAAGATGAACCTGTCGGTGTATGTAGAAGGCTTTGACTTCTTAAACTTGCAGCTGTGCTTCACCCTTTCCACTTTTCATTCAACTCAAATTCAGTTCTACTCAAAAACATGTTATTTATCCCGAAGGGAAATGAAATGTCTTTGCAACTCGTACCGTCCAGTCATCTTCAGAGTCATCGTGGATGTGGACACGGCGCTGCTGCTCCAGCATGCTGCCACTTTGAGCTGCGCAAGTCTAGAATAACAAGTTGATGGGTTGTTGAACATTTTTCTGTAAGAGGCTCTTCTAAGTTTACGTTATTTGAGAACTCAAAACTGTTTAAATATCTTAATCTGCCCCCAATCTCTGACCTTTTTGGTTTTCGTTATGCTGTTTCTTTAGTAATGCTCTCTAACAAACCACACAGGGCTTCACAGAACAGCTAGGATTACATTTGAAAAAGATTAAGTCTTTTTTTAATTGTTAGTTATTTCAAGGTATGAGAGTAAAAGGCGGTCAGTACAAATGCATGCCAAACTTTTCACATTTGTAGCTATAAAAAGAAAAACATGTATCATTTTCTTCCACTTTTAAAGTGCGTGTGCTGTTTTGTGTCCTGTCACACAGAATGTCAAACGAAAGCTCGTGATTGAAACGCAACAGAAGTGAGTAGTTTTGCGAGGCGCCGTACTATGAACACACTCAGACTTGTGAGAATCGTGTTGTGTTTTCATTGCATGGACAAGCGTAAGTGTGGACAGCTGTATCCCTTTTCGCTTCTGCATACCTCATTCCTCCGACTCTGCCATCTTATACACGCGGACGTTTCCCTCGGTTTACGGTGTCACTTTATATTTGGCATTATGTGGAGTTTGACAACTAATTAATATGCTGTACAGAAACAGATCTCTCTTTTTTTCTTCTTTTTTTTTTTGGTAGTTATCTGCACAGTCCCCATGGAGTGGAGAGGAACACATGCACTCAGCATGACTTAAAAGTTGCACAATTTAAAATACCATCAAGCTGTTTTTGTTTCCAAATGAAAATGTCTTTCCTCTGATCAGGCACATCCTTGTATTGATACCGTCACATGCCGCTTGTTTTGTTTTTTCTACACCCGAGACTTAAAAGTGTTCTTCTTGTTCTCCCTATGCCTTTTCCATGTAAACGATACTGCTGCATAGCCATTGCTGTCACATGTACAGATTATTTTTTTTATATATTTTTATTTCTTTTTTTTTTGCCCGTTTACTCTAAGCCCTCAGCGCGCTCTTCAAAAATGCCTCACGAATCTAAAGGGCCTTCCTCTTGTTTTGTGTCCAACTGTAACCCGAAGACACAGGATATCGAGAGCTACCTGAAAGGTTTACCTTTTCTGAATCTTCTTTAATCAGCCCAGCTCCTTGGCGTCAGAGCTGAGGAGGAGGAGGATGAGGAGGAAGACACCAGAGAATCTCCACACAAAGAAGTGGCCTTCTCGCAGCAGCACAGCCAATTAAAGGGAGGGAGAGCACTGGCTCTTCTGCTTCGTTTTTAAGAATGTGGTGTATTTCCCTGTTTTAAGCTGGCAAAAGCTGTTCCATGCAGTAATTTTAATCGTCCTTACCGATCTCACACAAGCCTGTTTTTTTTTTCTTTTTTCTTTTCCTCTTGATGTGAAAAAGGAAAAAAAAAGTATCTGAATCAGACTGAAGTGCCTCCTTGTTAGCATGATTTCCAGACAATGCCCACACAGACATCAGCACTTTGTTTATTATCTGACTGTCATGCTCTGTTTGCTTCGCTGGGGAAACACAAATACACATAGACTTACACAGTTTGTTGGAAGGGAAGGGAAAGGAAGGAGGAGTCGCAGACGGAGCGGAGTCTATGAGGGAATTTTCCTTCTTAATGTGATGTACAGCAAAGTGCTGAGTGCATGTGAAAGCCAAACCCACTGTGTCAATCAAGTCCTAATAAACTCTGTATCATAGTTTGAATACTCATCTGTTCATCTGCCTCTTTCTTTACCATCCCGATTGCTCTGTGGATGTGACTGTGACGCCACATTCACACGTCGGCGTCACATGTTATCCACCCAATTCCCCTTTTTTATGGCTTTTGCACACGAGCGGAGATAAAGTGGGGTGGCCGTTCATTACTCTGTCTGGCTAAACACACACCAAAATTAAAAGATATGTGTTGAAGAATTGAAGTCTTTTCTTTAAGTTGTTCAGATGAAGAAAATGAAGATGGCATCTGTTTCTTTGATCCCTTCAGTTTCAGAATATGAAAAAAAAATTATTGAAATATGTGTATATAAAAAAATACAATATTCTTTATTAGAATTTTTTTTCAGAGACAAAAACCATCAGACTCTGAACATTTCCTAATAAAGAACAGAATACCTTTCAGTTCATTCAGTTCCTTTTAGCTGTAGTCTTCAGCTTTTGATCAGCTGATGAGTGACTAGATTGAGTTTACATGTCACTTTTAGTAAACCGCTCGCTCTGTTTCTTTTGTCTCCTGTTCCTGTTTCTTTTTTTTTTTTCAGCATTTTGAAGTTTTCACTGTGATCACTATCCAGCTGTGTGGAATTGGATCACCTTGTCTTTCCACTTTGATCAGGAGTGTGGATTAAAAACTCAAAATGCAATTTTTGTGTTGATGGGGCTCACCTGCTTCTCCATTAAGCTGAATGGTATAATTTCAAAACCACCTTGTCAAGACTTGTTGTGCAAAATAGGAGGTTGAAGTTTCAAGTGAAATAAGAAACGTCTAAAGCAAATCTTAATGTAAAGCATATTAAAAATCTGTTTTGAGGAAATTAAAAGCTTCAGAAAGCACTTAAGGAAAATCTTCTTGTTCTTGTAGGATAGATTGTTTGATCGTTAGCGCTTCCAATTTTGGATTAACTTTTAGACGAAAGTGATGTGATGCAAACCGGAGCCTTATTAAAAGAAAATCACGTACTTGCTAATAAAAAGGGAACTCATTCGATCAGGCTTGTGACCTGGTTTCTCGTTCTCTTTGTCCCGTGTTTCTTTACTGTACAAAAACATGGGAGTTTTTCCACTGCGTGATGAATCACCCATCACACGTCTGCTTGTTCTCATGTTGAACGAGGGAACCTGACCGCAAGGACGTGGGGTCACAGTTTAAGGTGACTTCGGTTTCTATTTTCCTCCTGCCAGGGACTTATTAAACACCTCTTTTCTCTCCCTCTGCTTGCTCTGACTCTGATCCCATAAGCGGTTTCCCTCTTCACAGGTTTCCAGCTCTGATCTGATCTGAGCTGTTGCCTCTGACAGCTTTCTTGACGAGGGGCCTGTTGAGACAATATTACCCTTAGATAACTTGTGTTTGGATTGGATGGAGTAAGCAAGGTTTCTAAAACACGCACACAGCTTTATATAATTTATCCTTACCAAATCTAATCACCTACGCTTTTGGGTGAAATTCCAGAAACGGTAATCTGGCTGATGATGCTATGTTTAAAGAATAAGAGGAAACAAAATGTTAATGTTAAGACTTTTAGGAGAAGATAATAGACGTCCTGTTGGAAAAAGAGACTCATACAAAGTACATACAACAATAAATGAACCAAATGTTATTTTGTTCAACACAATTTTTTATTGGATTTTTCTTTTAACTACTGAAGTAAGATAACAGTGATGCTATAAATAGATGAAACCTTCCTTGGTTTTATTCAAGTTTTTATAGGAATAAAAAAAATATTCTGCGCTTTAAGAAGAAAAAAGTCCACTGAATTTATCTATTTAATATTTAATCCATGAAGCCAGATGGAGTACTCGAGTTGCTGACATGACGTTTCCTCCTATGACATTGAATTTTTGCCAGTCTTATTCTGAGACATCAATCATTCTTACGGGAGAAAGGAGCCAAACTAAGAGAAACATTGTTGCCCTTGAGTTGCGGAGTGATTATGCGGTCATGGTCCGAGAGGCTGGACGGCTGAGTCACTCAGGGTCTGCCCCATTGACCTCTCTCCTCTGGGTGCCATCCCATACAGGAGGCCGTCTGCGCCGTGGCATGTTTGTTTACGTGTGAATCAGTGGACCCGGGCACTGGACGTTATCTCACGCAGAGTTTGTGAGAAATGCTTGTCGTGTCCGTTGGAGTGTCCTTGATGACACGGCCGTTGGATCGGTTAGTCGGTTCTCCTGTTTATCTATCTGGTGATAGCAAGATGGCCTTCAGAGGGGGGGAAGCTCCTATATATACCAGAGCTCTCAAACATCCCACAGATAGAAGTCGGAAAGCCTCTGCAGCTGTCTCTTCTGCTCTGCTGAACCTTTGCATCCCGGACGTAGGCTAACCTCTTGCTTGTGTTCCCAGTTATTTTTAACACTTTATTTTTCAGTTTAACGTGTCAGAAACTCCTACAAAGCAAAATGCTGCCCGCAACTTTCAAACTGTGTGCTGGCATCTCCTATCGGCACATGTGGAACATGACAGGTGAGTGAACGAATCCCACTGGGCTGACAATCAGCTGCCTTGACCTACTTCTCTACCGCCTGTTTGACTTCCTGGTTGTATCCACACTTTTTCCACCTGAGGTCTGCATGAACAAACGAAAGAACGCTGAGCAGAGCCAAATGCGTTCTTACGTTTTTCTCGCAGTTTCACCTGTAAATGTGATGTCCTCCTGTTTTCCAGGTCTTAGAAGAAATGCCCTGGCAGCAATCCATCATGAGCTGAACAGGCTGGCGGGTCCAGGCCCCAGCAACTGGATCAGTCAAGTCCGCAGACGGAGCTCTCTCCTCAGTGAGTTGGGGGGGTTTGTTGCCTGTTTTATTTTACCTTTGTTTTTTGTCCAGGTAAAGCTTAGTGATAAATGGTGTGTCATTTTCAAGAGAGACATGTTTTAAGAGAATATTGATACACATTGGCAGGAATGCAGTATCAAATTTTGGACCCTTTGTTTTTTAGCCATGTTGCTCAGTCCAAATTCTCACTTGATTCATTTCTTTCCCACATATTTTCCCCATGATATTTAGATAAAGATTTTTAACTTATATGTGGAGAAAATGCCCAATTGTTACCCCACAGCAATGTTTGATGCACCTTTTACTTTGTATTTGCTGAAAATGTAGATTGTTAGATTGTCAAGATTATTGTTGGGAATTTGGAAAACATCAGGCTGAGCACCTAGATGCATTACAGTCTCTGAGGTTTCTAGTTGTCGCACTGAATTTACAAAGCTACAACACATGTCATCCCAGACCTGTGGAGTTGGAGATAACACATGCTTTCTGCTTAAGGCTCTCGCATTCAGGAGGAGGAAGTGTACAACGATGAAGAAATGTCCTACGTGAAGCAAGGAGAGGATGCACTGCAGAAAGCCATCAGCATCCTCAGCGAACAGGACGGCTGGACGGTGGAAACCGTAGCTGTGAGTACAATGCAGAAGCCAAGCTTTCACTGAAGTTTAAATTAACTTTGGGTGTAATGGATACAACTCTCGGACAGAAGCGATCCATCTTATTTGGCGAGGGAGATGACTGCTGGATCTCTTCCCACATTTCTGCAGGCAAACGGAGACAAGGTTCTGAGCAAGGTCTTGCCAGACATTGGGAAGGTGTTCAAACTGGAAGTGGTGATGGAGCAACATCCCGACAACCTGTACGAAGAGCTGGTGGAAAAAATGGAGCAAATGGGAGACTGGAACCCCAACGTCAAACAAGTCAAAGTAAGACGGAAATATTTTACTAGGGATGACTCCGGAAACAGTGCACAGGTCTTAAACTCATGGTCGTTGGTAACGTTTTAAACCGGGATGTCCCAGATTCTTCAAAAGATTGGACAGGACACCATGGTGACCCACGAAGTGTCAGCAGAGACCCCAGGCAACGTGGTGGGACCGAGGGACTTTGTGAGCGTCCGCTGTGCCAAACGTCGAGGCTCCACCTGCTTCTTGGCTGGAATGTCCACTCAGCATCCGAAAATGCCAGAGCAGAAAGGTGTAATCAGGTAAACAAATGAGGTGGATCATCTGCCTGGTGTACTGGCACACAAGATTGTCGTTCAGATTTGTTCAAATCAGGTCTAATTTGTCACATCTTGCAGAGCCGAGAATGGGCCTACCTGTATCGTGATGAAGCCTTGTGCTGAAGACCCAAATAAGACTAAGTTCACCTGGCTGCTGAGCCTAGATCTAAAGGTACATCAGAATACTGGAATCACAAACCTAAACTAAAAACTGTGTTCAAAAGCCACGGGAGTCTGTCTAATCCCAGATTTGTCTTTGTTCTCTGTAGGGCTGGATCCCAAAGACAATTATAAACAAAGTGCTCTCGCAGACGCAGGTGGACTTTGCCAGCCACCTCAGAAACAGGATGGCGAATAACGTTTCCATGGAGACGGCTCACGCCTGCTGACACGAGACGCCTCTTGAGCCAACAGAGAGAGAGAAACTTCTGCTCATCAAAAAAATCTCTTCTAAATCTGCTTAGAGTCACTGAAAAAGTAGACACTCCAGTGAGTTTTAGCAAGATCCTGGGAAGATTGTGCTTTACTGAAATCTTTAGAAAAATCTCAGCACTTTTCATTAAAAACAGAATGAGTTAAACACACATAATCACAACGCTGTTGTTGATAAGCCTATAAAATTTTATATATTTTTTTTTTATTTGACATATGTGCACTGTGTGCACTTCTACCTGATATGGGCAATTGTCAAGCAAAGAAGAGAGTTTTGGTATTCGCCCTGTAAAATTGTATCAACACAGTTAAGAAATACTCAGATTTCCCAATCAAACGCAGTTATGCTCAGATGTAAACTTTTTGCACTTAACATTTAATGGACTTTAAATTACAAAAAAAAAAGTAAACACCAACAGGGAGTGCACTATATGTGAAATACAGCCTGTTGTTATTTTCAGCTGCTATACCTTTCAGTGTAACCCAGTTCTTAATCTATAATCATGCATCACTTAACAGAAGTCAAGACTCAGGGTAGTCATAGCATTTTCCCCTATGTAATACATATATTTCTTAACTGACCCAAGCATCAGCCCTTACTGACGAGTCTCTTTCAGTATCAACCAAACTAATTTCCTTGCCCCTGTTTGTGAAAATGCACTTTTATTTCTGCATGTTATTTATTGATTTTTCCATAGTTGCAGCGACTGCAGGGTGTCACTGATATTTATGCTTTCAGAGAAGAAGTTTTAATAATTGTGTTGGATTAGAACTGAATAAAGTCTTGTTGAACATATATCTGGTCGTATGTTTAATTTAAACACGCACACACACACACACACACACACACACACACACAAACATATAAATATATATATATTAGTTTAGCAAGCATACTTGTTTGCACTATGCACTAGACTAAAAGGGGCTGATCACAAAGTTTTACAATTGGTGTATGTAAAAAAAGAAAATAAATGTAGGGGAACATGCACACGTCTTTGATTTTAAAATATAAAAAGAAAACTTTTGATTTTTATTGTTAACATGACAAAATGCAACACAAACTCCTAAGAGGTTTTTGTAGAACAGAATATGCAAAATTAGTTGGTCCTCCGGTTATTCACAAGTAAAAAACTAACTGGAATGCTAGCCTTAGAACTCAGATTGGAGAGTTCACTTTGTTTCTTCTGCTATTAGACAGGAAAGGAAGTGGAACGATTTAATGACTTTCCTTAAAATTCTGTAAAAAAGTTGATCATCAAAAGCACTGCCCTCCTTTCTGATGGCCTTTCACTGCTGGTTTTGCCAGAATGAGCAGGTGGTTGGCCTTTCAGATGTGTGAGGAGCCCAGCAGCTACAGCAGCTCAATCTGAGCCAGCAGTACATTCCCCATGATCAAGTAACTCAGAGTTTTCATTCCAAACAGGAAATCTGTCCCTCATTACTGCCCGTTATGTAACACGTTGCCAAATTTGTGTAGCTTTGTTCAATCCAAAATGTTTTGCAACGGATAATTTTCTTGGACACAGCGCAGACAAACGGGGCCAGAATGAGTCACGGTGTAGGACTCTCACTTCCCGTCTCACAGAAGTTCTCTATGATCCCGCTTCATATCTGTGTGATTATGTTGTATCACTAAAGCTCAAAAACGTTCTTTGAACCTGGAACTGAGATTTCAGGATCAAGGGCTTCTTTTCTTCTCCCTTTTTCCGCAAACCTTATCAAACGATTGGGTTCCTGACAAACATGGGGATTGATATTCACTCCCAAATGTTAAGTGGGACATACATGTCGGCGTTTAAGCGCCAAGTCCTCCTTTATTTAATACTTTTCTCGAAAGAATGTTCCACAGGCAAATGCCCTAAAAATGAAAGCAAAAGCAGATGTGATCAGACTGGAGGAGATTCACAGAACGTGCTCCATTACTGGTGCAATGAGGTGGAGATGTGGGAAAAACCTGACCCTGGACCAGAGAAGGGAAATAATTTCTTTGCAAAGAAGTCGTGCAATGAGAGACAGACAAAACAAGCTTTCTGGCAGCCATACTAAATCCTTGGCAGTGATGCCAGCATTGATTAATTAATTTTTCTTTTCCTGTCCTGAGGTGAATATGGGCACATTCTGAGGAACACATGTTAATAAAGCCTTGATAAAAAGATAAGACGATTCCAGTATCTTATAGTACATGGTAAACGTATTGCAGATTACGTAGGTTGTGGAGTGGCATGTTCGTTAGTTCTGTTGCCTTGCAGCAAGAAGGTCCTGGATTTGAATCCTTGCCTGGGGTCTTTCTGTGTGGAGTTTGTGTTTTCTCCATCTCCAAGCATGGGGTTACTGTAGGTACTCTGGCTTCCTCCCACAGTCAAAAACATGTATGTAAGGTTTCTCTGTCTCTCTGAATCACCCCAAACCTCCTTTGCCCTATTACTATTACAGATACACAATTAGAAAATGGATGGAATAATAATAACATCTTTTGACCAAAATGGATGGAGCTTCCTTGTAACAGAACTGAAATTAGAAAAAAAAAATACTAAACAGAACTGTAAAAATCCCAGTAAGGAAAAAGTATGTGTTTGGGTCTTCGCATAGTAAGTTAACCTTAACAGAGGGAAAAAGAAAAAAAAATTAAAAAGTACAAAATGTATATTCTAGAAATTCAATGAATAATAATGCCTCACTAACACAACTAACACCAAGAGAGTTAATTTCTGAAGGTAAGATATTGATAGGACAATATATCCTTACATTACAGATACCGAACCACCCCTTTAAGATGAAAATAGAACCATAATTTCACTTTTAACTTCAGGAACAGGCTTTGAAAATAGGGGCACTTACTGTGGAAGAGAGGCTGGTTTCTACACATCTCATCAGTGCGTTAAATCGCTGACGTAAAGACCGAGAAAGACATTGGGAAAGGGTTGTTTTAGGAATTTGTCATAGATACTCTACCTTAGCTCCCAGAAAGCAATGACGTAATGAATTTAGTCGTTGACAGGAAACTACAATTCCCAGGATGCACTTGAAATTGCTGTGGCTACTGAACGGGGGAAGGGAAGCTGAGATTGGAGGGAGAAACAATCAGAAACTCAGGTACTTTTTGCACGCTTCTTATCGTATAGTATGGCTGGACATTTCTTTGCATGTCATGTGTTGAGCGTGTTTCATAGACAATAAAGTCTGAAGTAGATTTAATAAGCGCCTTGTTGTCGGATTTGGAGATTGACTCCATCTCCGTTACAGTTCAGTAGAGCTCCAGCTAGCCCCGTTAGTTAGTTAGCCTGGCAGCTGGCTTTTCTTTTCTGCGCTTAGTGGGAAATGGCTGCTTAACTACTCGTAGTATTTACGTCAAAAAATATTTAGAATTTTGCCAGAGACTTTCGACGGGCTTGCATAGTGAAAATGTAGTTTGTTACGCTCTCGGTTTGCGATAAAGCTGTAGCTGCGTCTTTGTGCCAGCGGGGCTGCTAGCTTTCTGGTTGCTAGCTGACGGCAGACCGACCGCTGCTGGGGCTGGAGCTGTCACCGCCTCTGTAGGAGACTGTCAGCGCAGAAACTCAGCTCAATGAACACTTCTGACATGGCGCTGTGCGTTCACTCTGCAATACTTTGACTTTTAAACGATTAACACGTTTCGCTACTGTGCTGAGCTGTTGGTTACAATAAAATAGTAAAACAACAAATGTGCACGAGGAAAGCTGTATGCAAATACAAACATAATGATAAAATGTGAAGTACAACTCTTTTGTAATTTGGTAATAAACACGTTATGCTACTATATTTTATAATAAGTTACTATTAATACTGTTGGAACCAGAAGTTTACATACTCCGAATAAAATGACACATTTTTCTCAATGTCTGAAGTTAAATCGGACCAAACCTCTCCTGTTTTCGGTTACCAACTACTTGCTAAACGCCACCGAAATGAAAGAAATAATGTATGTATTTAGCAATATCTTCAATATAGTCCAGAAAAGATTATCATGATTAATTGATTATTGATATAATCATAAATGTATTTGGTAATAAATTAATCATTAACTGGAGAATACAGACTCAAAAGGGCAATTTGCTGAAAAGACAACATATTCAGAGCAGAAATTAAGCCATGATTGTACAAAATATATATACATTTGCATTTAAGAATAAATAAAAAGCTTTTTTGTCTAGAAATATGGTAATGTTTTTAAAGTCAAGAGGACACAGGACTCCCAAAGTGGCATAGTTTTAGCTTCACCCAGTTCAGATTCTGTAAAGAAATCTCCTATTAAGCACATTTTCCTGTCCAGTTACTAATCGGTACTGTAAATGATCATTCGTTCATTACAGGACTATTACGTTACTGCATTTTAAGCAATAATTTGTTTATTTCCTCATTAAAAAATAATTGACGTACTTATTTAGATCTTTTAATGTGTTTCTAATATTGTTTTTTTTTTAGGTTTAAATAGTTAAATCTGCAGAAAATGCCATTTAAAAAATGGCTTAGTAATACAAATAACCAGTTACTAAAATAATCATTAGTTGAATCTCTACTTCAATATTATAATTTTACATACATGTTCTCAGTATTTAGTAGTCTTGCCTTTGAACTGCATCACTTGGGTCAAACATTTTGGGTTTTCTTCCACAATCTTCTCTCTGTAGTTGTGTGTGTGTGTGTGTGTGTGTGTGTGCGCGCGTGTGTGCTGTGTTACAGCATTTACATCTCATATTTTAGCAAAAATTTCTGATATGGCTTTTAACATATCTCTTGTTACAGTTGTAATAATGCTATTTATTACATATTTGTATAATTAATTATTGTGATTTTTATGCATAGTGTAGACTGAAGCAAAAGAGTGGAGAGCACTGTAACATTTTCACTAGCTTGTTGTTTAGTTTGGCTGTCTGCTGTGGTAGACCCCACAGTCAGCTGTACACCTTTCATATTTGGGTGTAATATTGTTGTTCCTTCCATATCAAATAATTATTACTCTTATTATACTTTTCAGATACTGCGTGCCTCCTCCTTTGGAGTTGGGCCGTACAAGAACTTTTTCTACATGACCCACACTGCAATATCTTCTTGGCTTCTCCACTGCAGCTGAGCTCACACAACAACCCAGCTTTTGACAAACTGCATTTGCTCTGGGTGCCAGAATCATGACGGTTCTTGGACGGGGAGAGCCCAGCCCCGAGAAGCAGCAGCATCATGCAGCTTCTGTTTGCCTGTGGTGGGGCTGAGCCGCCGAGGAGAGGAAGGAGGCAGGGTTTCATGACACTACGCGCCGATTCTGAGAAGAGCTCGTCGACTTGCATACGCACGTTCTCCCGCGATCGAGGCCTGTGAAACCACCTGAACTCGGCTGCAGACAAGAAAAGAAAAAAAAAAAAAAAACGAGATCATCCAGACAATATGGATCGCAGTGACGTTTCTGTGAAGTCCGGCTGTTGACATGAAGATCTCTGCGCATGCGAGGAGAAAATGAGAAAAGTGTAGATAGAGACTTTGAGTCCCTCCAGGTGTGCACTACAGAAACCATGCTGGCGTTTGCCCCGACTCCCCAGCCCATCTCCGTTCATGACTTTGGGAGCCTTTAGAGGCCACGATCGGGAGCGACATCAACAGTCAACACGATTACATGCAATGGAAGAAAACATTGACGTCACATCACACACAGAGGTACCTTCGTTTCACCCTCTTCTTCTTTTCAATCCAAGCTTTAATCTCATTGTGGTGTTTGGGCTTACGCTAATTTAACACCATTAGGAGCACCTGCTATGTTGCTCAACAAAACCGAGCGGAGTTCGCTCTTCTTCCGCCTTATTCCAAGTGTCCCCTTCCAGCGGGGAACATTTTCTCTCCAGGCGTCGTCTTGATCGGTTCTGAATTTAAAAAAAAATATATATGTTTCTTTAAAGCAGGTTGCCACCATTGCTGAAATCACAGCCTGAGGTCAGCTAATGTCTCTCTTGCCTTAGCTGTAATCTCTGATCTGGCTTGCTCGGCAGGTTGCTGCAGTGGCAGCTGACATCGCATTTCTCTTATCCCTAACTTGGTTTTGCAGCCATAACATTACCTCCAGCAGCCTGGCCTCTATCCTTGCGCGGTGCAGCGCTTGCAGACGGTCGGATAATCATATCATTAATGCTGCACGGCTTTTGAGTGAAAGTTTTTACAAAAAGAAAAAAGAAAAGTGAGGGGGTCATTAACTCGGGCTGCTGTCTTTGCAGGAAGTTTTATTAGTTGCAAAAACGAGTTATGGTAAATGTAGCACTTCTACTTTTTTTCTTCCCTCCAAGATTGGAAAAGAGTTTTCAGGCAATATATTAAATCATAATATGAGATCTGCTTTCATAATGACTCTCACTAGTTTATGCGTCGTTTGTTTTATTTTTGTATTTAAGCTCATTTGTTCTTCTTGTCAGGGTCTGAATGGTTTGTCACATGAACGGAAGCCTGTAGAGGACATCACCAATGGACATTCCACCTACAAGCCTGTAAGCTGCAAGCCACTTCTCTCTGATCCCATGTAATTAATTGTTGCTAGGAAGCCTAAGTCACCGGCGTGAACTCCTGTTTTTGTGCAGGTCATTAATGGAGTGGCCATAGGTCACAATGGGAAAGACCACACCAACGGCAACGCACCTTTCAGATCTCTGCCGGTAATAAAGCTTTGTTAAACAACTACAGCGCTGGTCAGAAGTTTACATACACTTGTCATCAGCATGAATGTTGTGAAATTTGAGCTTTTAATTACATCCTTGTATTTCTTTGCACGCTAATATTTAGAGAAGTATTCCTTATCGAGTTGCAGAGAAACGACATATTTTTTGTTGCCAAGAACAAGATTCTTGGGCAATTTTGGTGTGACCTCACTTCTTATCTGAAAAGGTAGAGCCTGTTTAACCTTGTTCGCTGGTACTGACATCATGACTTTTGGCATAATTTCCTTAATGTTCATTATTTTTAAGGTCAGATCCATCACGGATGCTTAGCCGGGCGAATACTGTGTAAAGGTTTGAATGCATATATGGATGCAAGCAGAACAAAAAGAGATTGTAGATCCCAGCGCTGGGCATTCTGGGTAATTGCAACCAAAACAAACATCTGAGTCCAGATCTAATGGGAGAAATATTCTGTGGACAGAAGAGGAATCCTACAACAACTAAAATATGACTTTGTCCCATTCTTGTTTACATTTCACGAAGAAGGAAGTTGCGTCCATGTTTTCTTCAAAGGTTTTCATGTCGTTTTCTTCAGTAGTTCTTGGTGCAGCGCCTCCACAGGCGAGGAGGTGAACAGGTTTTTCAAAGAGTTTGTTTTGTTTGACGCTGTAAATATAAGAAATGTTGCAATTTTGAACTGGAGACCCCTTGGTCAAAATGGTAATCGCCTCCCAAGGTGGTGCTGAAGATCCTGTGGGACTTTCAGGTTCAAACAGACTAAATGAGAATGGCCCACCAACCAAATAAAACAATTAAAACAATGCTAAATTCATTCTGATCAGGAGTGAGTGTAAATATCTGACAAATACTACTTACAGTAGTAGGATTTATGTAATACGGTATGCATTTATGGTTTAGATTTCAGCACTGAAGCAAAATGGCATCCTGCAGAACCTGACGGCAGGTGGAGACAAGCCCAGTCCCACAGGTAAATAACACACACATACCTTTTCATACCTGAATAGGTGTTTATGCTAAATATTGTGCAGTTGTTTTTGGCAGAGCTTTGGAAAAAGTGAGTCTCATCAAATGAAGAGTGCAGCGCTTCTCCTGGTTGAAGGCTGCAGTGAAGTTATGATTTGTTTGTCCCATTTTTTTTTTTGTTTTTTTTTACAGAAGAGCAAGAAGATGCTGATCTGGAAAAGGCCAGGCAAGAGTGGGAGGCTCTAGATAACATCCAACCAGGTCAGCTGCCTCGCATTGCCTCACCTGTCTGAGTCAGGAGGGGGAAAAAAAATCAGTTTTGATGTGAACTGTAAGTTGGAAGCAATTAAATTAACCCAAGGAGACGGCATGGATAAAACACTGAACTGATTTATTAAAGGTATCTAGAAAATGATTACTGATGGATTACATTGCCTTGTTTCGCCAAAGGTTTGTTCACAATAACTAGGAAAGGCTGGGCGTGTGGAGATTTGTGTAGGTTTCTCAGATTCTTTCACTAACTGCCTCAACAGCTCTAACTGAGGACTCGAACCCAACCCCGCTCATCTCCTTCAATGAAGCTCTACAGTACTTCCAGACCACAGACCTTGGGGACTTGCTGGTAAGAAATGCAATATTTTACTGTGTGTCACACATCTCAGCTGCAGGTGTGTATTTGACATCATTTCTTTTTTAAAAGATTAATTATTCTTCAACCAGGCAGTTTTCTTGTTTGTTTCTTTTTATCCTAAGAAAGACCTCTTATCTGACAGTTCACACTGCTCTCCAGTGGCCAGCCCTTCAGTAAACATTTTTTATTGTTGTGCTTTACTGCTGTTGTAAGCAAATAAAAAAAAAAATTAAAAAAAGTAAATGTAAGCAATGTTGATTTGGGGGAAAACAAAGTCCAGCTGATTTTCTGAGAGACCATGGAAAACCTTCAAGTATTCGCAGTGGATTCTAATTCTTGCATTAATGTTAAATGTGTGCAGTGTCATTAGAGTGATGACGTGTTAAATATGAGAATTAGTTATTTAGTGTTTGTCGTCCCCACCTAAAACCCTCCATCTGCAGAAAAACATCCAGCCAACTATTCGCAGGACCGGTCTGGCTGCGATCGCACACTTCCTGTTCGGACCGCCGCGACTGCACAGGGAGCTCCTGGAGGAGAGGGATCTTGTCTTTGCCATTGCACAGTGTGAGTGTGTGCGTGTGTGTGTGTGTGTGTGTGATTTGCCACAGTTACAGCCATAAATCCACAGTTTGTCTTATAAAGAAATGGCTTGATCTCTCTGTTTGTGTGTGTGTAGGTCCTGTGGATAACAGCCAAACAGTCCACATGCGTGTCCTGCAGACCATACATAAAAGGCTGATTGGAGCCAGGCTGGACTGTCCTCGCTACGGTCCGCACTGGGAAAACATTGGCTTTCAGGGTTAGCTATTTGATCATACATCTGGTGTTTTAATTTTGTTGAGAGACTAACTCAACTCGATGAAGTTATTTGATCCATCTTTATCCTAAAACTGGATCACCTGATAAGAGCTTTGTTGTCAAAAAGCTAAACAGCAGTTCCACTAAACAAAGCGACATTACGGTGGTTTGGTGTTTTTCAGGTTCTGACCCGGCCACTGACCTGCGTGGCACTGGGTTTCTTGGACTGATGCACACTCTGTATTTCGTGATGGACCCAGAAACTCTGCCATTGGCGAGAGATATCTACAAGCTGTCGCAGCATCCTACACAGGTGTCTTCAAGTCACGAAACGCAGTCCTAAAACATTTTATTTATGGCAGAGTCTACAGACATCATGCTAGCATTTGATATAAATACAGGAGAATTATTTTGAACTGCAGCTTTGCTAAAAAATTCTGAAATATCTTAACTAGTCTCACCCTGCTTTGTAAATTTGCTTAAGCTTGTGAGATAAAAATAGAGCCTGTGTTGTCTCTCTTATAGTACTTTTCAAGTCTTTAGCAGTTGCATACATATGTGTAGAGATATTGTTTTTATCTTTCACACTGTTATCCTCGAAACAAAGTACCTGCTTCTCATTAAACCATTTGCCTACAATTTTAGTTCTGATTTTTTTTGTAGAACTGGACAAACCAATCAGAGATCAAAATTGGACATATTTCTCTCAACCAGTGATTGAATACAATTTGTAGTGGTGAGCGGTTTAACAAAGATATTTCCCCTTTTAAGCAACCTTCAGTGAAACTGAAAAAATTTGCCAGTTTCTAGAGAAAACTTCAAAGTATGAAGGAATGTATGAGACTTTTGCATAATGCATTACTTAATGTGTATTTTTTGTTGTTGTAGAACTTCCCTTTCTGTGTGATGTCAATCAACATGACCCGCATTGCTTTGCAAGTCCTGAGAGAGGAGGCCCTGTCCAAGTGAGTCACACCTCTGCTACCTTCGTTTTTGTTTTATCTGCTTTGCACTGATCAACAAAATGACAGAAACTCTTGTAGAACATCGGATCTCAAAGGGAGGATGAAATCAGGCTGGGGTGATTATTTGGAACGATGCCATATCCCTCGTCATTCATCAAAAACAAAGTGAAGTTGAGATGTCACGATGTCATTGCAGCTCCTTTTAGAAAAATATTAATCATTGCTTTACTTAAATTAATAAAGCCGTCAGATTTGTTTCTGGAAAGGAATGTGTAAATAAATTATTCTAGATCCAAAACTTAAAAAGGGTTCTGCATGGGTCGCCTTATTAGAAGTCATTTTTAGGTGTCAATTGGAGAAGAAAAAGAAAACATCTCTAATCAATAAATTGATTTTTCTTTGAAAATGCTTCACGTATTAAGCTAAGTTTATTAAATTAATTAAAAGCAGATTATGTTGGTGCAGCAAAGTTTGCCTTCAGTAAAAGTCACTGGTCCTTGCAAAAAAAAAGCAAAAAACGTGGTTATTTAAAGACACATACTTTGTGTTGTAGCCATTTTTTATCTACTGTAAGAAGATTTTACTTTGTGATAATTTTGCCTCCATCTACATCAAACACTTGAGCTGTGGCTGCCAAATTTGTATCATTCTTGAACTTAAAGTCAGGGGCCACACACAAAGGGTCCATGAGCTGCAAGTGGCCCCCAGGCCACCCTTTGGACATCCTTGACCTAAATTGTGTTGAACCATCAGGCCACACTCATGAATGCTCCGTTCTGTGGGTCCATCTTCATTAAGAGTAAAGTAAATTTTTAATAACATTTCAATCACAAGGACTACTTGGATTCAGCGACGTTATCGTTTAAGTTCAATATGTGTCGCCTCTGACGGCTCCCCTTTCCCGTGTCTGTGTCAGGGAGTGCAATCGTCGTCAGCAAGTGGTCGGTGTGCTCAATGAGTTTTACGTTGCCACATTTCTCCACATCTACCAGCTGTGGAAGACCCAACAGAAGACGATTGCTGACTCTGGCTTCGTGCTAAAAGGTAAAAACAGTAGCTGTTTTCTTTTTTTTTTGTTTGGTTTTTCACATTTACCAAGCAGCTAAGAAGCATTAAAAATGCAGTTTCAGTCTGGATGAAAACTGGCTGCCATAAATAGTTTTGCACATAAACAAAATCAACAGAAATGTATTTATTAATGTTCTGTTACGCAAGTCCCTGGCTTCATATTTTTAGCACAATATGCCAGTTTTATCAGTCCTAACTTTCATATTATTTTGTAAAATGTCTTGCTTTTCTTTTTACAAACATGTTTGATTTTACTTAGTTGAGCATTCCTTCGTTTTCTTGTGACGCGTAGAAGTGGAGCTGTTTGCCAAAAAGAACCCCAAGCAGATGCTGCGCCGACTGGAGGTCTTCCTGAAGGAGAGGCAGGCGGGTGGGATCCCCCGTGGGACGTCGCCGGACCCTCAGGCCCAACAGCCCTCTCCCAGCTTGGGGGGCTCCAGAGCTGGGATGGGGCAGGGAAGCAGGGGAAAGGAGATGCACTTCACCGGAGTGTGTGACCTCCCACCGGACATGGAGGGAGAGGCCAGACTTATCTAAACTAGAGTCAGCGTGAGCATGTGTGTGTGTGTGTGTGCGTGCATGAGAGCTATCCTGTCCATGAGTAAGTCCGACACTTGTAAGTGTGAATGGGTCAGTCAAAGCAAGAACAGCTCGGCAGTTGCTGATCCGAGGTCTGCTACCCGGATCGACTCACACACTATTCTTCCTACAATGCTGGGGTGCTGCACTTTCATCAGATTAAGATTGGTGATCCTTCAGAGTTATATATTAATTTATTCTTGAACCTCGGGACGTAGGTCTGTCATATGTATAAAAAAAAAGATCTTTAATGTAAGATGTCATTTAAAGAAAAGAAAAGAGCAAAAGGAAGTGAATATTTGCACTTTTCCGTAGTTGTCGTAGCCAAAATAACAGCTGCCAAATTCCTTTTGTTAAACTTGTCTAGAAGTCCAAAATGTACATGTTCATGTCTGAAGGATTTCTAAGCAAGGAACCATGCAGCAGGAGAGCAGCGCCGTTTAAACCCAAACCGGGTCGAAGACGGTGTGCTGCTGTGCTGAGTGAAAGGAATAAGATGAGAAACCCGGAGAGGTTTTTGAGTTCTTTCGGCAGGGATCAGAAATCATTTGTAGACCGTGTTTATAGAAACCTTAGGCTCGATCTGAAGGTGGAATCGTTTTGCGCTAGGCGACTGAAACACGAGTGGACGTACGGTCCGTATGCGTGGAGGTAAAACCAGTCGAAACAGATCAACTGGATTCAGGTTCAGCAAACTACCCATAAATGGACTTTTAAATATCACTTTTAAAGACGACCTTCTGAAGAACATTTGTCCGTTTGATTCCGATTTCCCAGTTGTGCATAAAAGCGCGTCAGACAGACGTCTTGGTGAACAGCAGAAGTCTTCTATCAGGACATTCGTGAGTCGTCTCGCTTCTTAACGTCTTGCAAAGTAGAGGAAAGAAGACTTTTCATTGGTGTGGGTGTGTGAGTGTTAGGTATGGGCCAGAATGAGATTGTCCAGGTATGATGAGCTTAAGTAAAAAAAAAATAAAAAAATACCATGGAAATGTATCATGGTGTTGACCCCAAAAACTCAAAATGAAAAAACTCTAAAACATGACATAATTTCATTACAGTCTAATGTCAGAACAGAAAAGTCAGTTAATCTTACTTAAAACAGCACTACCTACTTTCCACGCCATAGTGTTTCTCATTTTTTTAAAGAAACTACATCCAAACACTCAAAATTGTCTTTCTTGTTAAAAAAAAAAAAGTGCTGTAACCTTCTTTTAGCCAGCTGACTGGCTGTGTGCAGCAACTTGTGGAGGGGGGCAACAGCGCAGTGGTTTGCTCCTTAAAGCCAGAGAAACCTCCAATCACGCTGCACGTCTTACTAAGAGGACTTTAAACCGTACAAACGATGTGGTGGATGTCTTTTTGCGGTTTTGACGGCAGAACTTTGAGGAACCTTGGTATACCTTGATGCTACAGCCAGCCCATGCCTAGAGTGTGCGCTCGCTCGCTCCCAGACGTAGCCAAGAGTCTGATCTGAACTTTCTCTACATTCCGTTATGAAGCATGTGATTGTAATTTTCTTCTTCTTTCCTTCTTTTTGTTTTTCTGATCAATTGTTCCTTGTGTGTGTGGATGCGTGTGTGTGCGTGTGCGTGTGTGTGTGTGTGTGGGGTGAACTAACTGATCTGATGCTGATGAAGGGTGCCTCTCCTAGGAGATGTATGGTACAGTATGCAATCCTTGCTCTTTCTCTATGATAATCAAAAACACTAGTGCTGTATGATGATAGAAATCGTTCCTAATTTCAGGGTTTGTGCACTCGTGCAAGCGAGTGTGTGTGTGTGTGTGTGTGTGGTGTGAGAGTCATATGAGGAACCGACTACAGATGACGGGGGGGGGAGGAGGAGAAGGTTTCTTTCTTTTGCACACAATAGGCTAGCTTTACCGAGCCCCTGGATCCACTAAGCTGCAGACCCGGTACTGGAGTCAAGCTTAAAATGGTACATTAAGACAAAATGTCATCGAACAAATACTTTAGTGTTCTGCTCTAAGCGGATCAAGCCCGTCGGTGAAGCTGGTCCGGTTCGTATGTGTTCAGGAAACCACCTCCCGTCATGGTAGTCTCAATCTGTAGCATGTTCAGGTAGCTCTAGTACTGTAGCATCCTATAGCCTCCTCCTCTTCGTACAGCTTGTTGATGTCACGTCTCGGTTCCAGTCCGTAGTGTCGATGAGTGTGCAAACTGTTACTACTATAGCACATGCATTTCATAGCTTTCTTCAGCCTCCTCAGTCAGCATGTCGCGCGTTCTGATGGGATGCAGGTCGTCGGCGTTGAGCTTAAACTCAAGGTGGCGATGGTAGACTTGGCACCTTACGGCAGGGGAAATAAGTCCTGAACCGCGGCACCAACAGTTTCCTCGATAAAGAGGACTGTCGACACAAAGTTCAGCTTGGTCCTGGTAGCAACCACAGCGAGTCACACGTACAAGAAATCAAAACACAGTAATGCATTAATTTTATTAGGTTGTAGTTTTTTAAATGTGGAATGACACTGGGAGTAGACATTGAATATGCCAATTAAAATTCACAAAATAAATGGCAAAAAAAAAAAAAAACCTATGTCGGGAAGATGTCTCCTGTATGGAGAAACTAGTTCTGAATCTTAAAAGGTTGTTCATGCACTCTGATTCAGCTCATAGATTTTAATTGGCTTCAAGTTCAGCTTTATGTTTGTCCCTCATTTCTCCTTCAGATTCTTATCAAGAAAGTCCAATTTGGGAGGGCAATGTGTACTTAAAATGTCATCTCAATATTATTATGCTATTTATAGCAACAACATTTTAAAAAATCTATAAGCAAGACAATTATTGCCTGTCCCTATTACTATACATTTTTCATCTTTTCTTATCTCACACTATATTCTCCCAGTATTTCATCTGCTTGGCTAAATGTTCAGTGTGCAAATGTTAAAGAGCTTCAACATGCCTTTTCTTCGGTAGTGGAGTCTTGTGCAGTGAGCGTTCATAGAGGCCTTTGTGGTTAAGTGCATGACTTGTCTTTTTTCAAACACATCCTCCTGATAATTGTCCCAGAGCTCCATGGCAACTCGTCTGACTGTTTGGTCTCATTTTTTATATATTGCGTGTGAACTGTGGCTTCACAGGAACATTCAGAAGTTCAAAAAGGCATCTCTAACCAATGTTTTCACACTTGAAAGAGAGCTAAACGTATGGTAAAATTAATAAACCTTTCTGTAGGCCATCAATTAGGACTAAGACGGTTCTTATAAATTTGCTTCCAGCAGATTTTTCACTTTATTCATGTACTCAAGGCCTATTCCCTGTGTCATTATTACACATGTCTTTATTTATGGATTTCCTTCTATTTATTTATTACTGGGATTGTTACCAGACTTTCCTCTTGCTGTACATCCACTGGATGCAGTCAGATTGTCCTCGCTTCCCTGTTTTCTCTTTGATTTCAAGCCACCGTGTCAAATCAGACCTCCCGCTTTCAGACGATGCAGCATGACGCCTGACGGCATCTTGGAGCACTTTGACACGCTGCTGGCGTCCCTACGTCTTTCTAACCTCTCCAAGCTGTCCTTCGCCATCACCTGTTCCCATTGGTATAACTCAAAGAACGGGCTCATGTAGTTTGCCAGTTATCCGATCGGTGCGGGGCGTTTTGGAGGTGGGAATCGACTGATGAGGAAAATTTGCACTGTTGTAGATATTTGATAAGTGTGTGTGACGTATGCAAGAGGAAGCAGGCCATCTTCAATAGCCATATTGTGATGTTCGTTTTAATCGCCCGGCCCATGAAACGGGCTACGTGAAGTCGGACTCCACCCCCACTCCCCCCCGCCTCGTTCTGAAGTGTACCGCACCATCGCCATGGTCTCGTGTTTAGTTCGAAGACGTTTTTAAGCTGACGAGCAGTGCAGTGTATGTAAATCAGGAAGTTTGTACATAGAGAATTAATGATTGTAACTGTATGATTGTCTGTAGGGCATTATACTGAAACACATTGCTTACCTCAAGACTTGAGACAAATCTTTCTCTCTCTCTCTCTTTCTCTCTTTCTCTCTCTCTCTCTCTCTCCCGTTGTTCGGCCTCCCTCTCAGGCTCGTTTTGCTTCCTTCTACTTTGGCCTATTTTCATACCCAATTGGAAACGTTATATAATTTATACTCGGCACCTAAATATATTAGGCATTTAACACGAAAGCTGGTCAATGTTATATGTATTCTATTTACAGACACTATATAGGCCCAGACGCTCTGATGCGCACCTGCTCCTTGATGAAAAGCCCCTTGTCAAGACGAGCTTTAATTGGCCAATGTCGTTGAAATAAGCTGGTTTTCTTGTGGCTTCAGTGATAGTACAGTATACTTTGGCTGTGATTCGGTGTTTGATGTGAAGAAAACACTTTGGGGGTGGGGGAAGAAACAAAAATCCTGTCTCTTTCAGCACCAGTCACAAACATTTTAATATATGATTGTAAAATAAAAAAAAAATAAAAAAAAACTCAATATAAGCTTCAATTAGCAGTCATAATGCTGTGTATGCTTTGACATTGGTATATATTCAGTGTCCAAACAAAAGGCCAGATTTATCCAGGTTACCAAAACCCTTTTAGTCATCGTAACACATTATATTCTTTTTGCTTTTACCATGGTCTTTTCTGTTCCTTTATTTGAGAAACAAACGATTAACAAACAAAAAAAAACGGGTTCTTGCAGGATGTCGGATGCTCTGAGAGCTGGGGGTCGGGACTTCTGCGTAGTACAGCGGCGGCTCGGCAAATACAATCACTTCTCTCAATATCCTGTTCTTTAATATGGAGGTGTTTTACTGTTGCCGTAGTCTTCATGTCCCTCAGAGCATTGTATGACTATTCTTTGATTGTAGAAGCCCTATTTTATACTGAGAGTTATTTCAGAATACAGTATGTGCTGTTAAACATTAAATGTATTGTATGGAGAAAGCTAAATAAATGCTGTTTAAAAACCACATGCTTCCACTTCCTCTTTTCATCTTAAGTGTCGTCACTCGATCTACCCGTGTCTCAATGAAACGTATTGAAAAAAATTGTTCATTTGTTTCTGTAGCTCAGTTCAGAAAGTGAACGTGCCGGAATATACAGATCATTTTGAGAAGTTTAAGGTCCTGAAGAGACAATCTGAGCCTACTTGACCTTAATCTGATTGAGCCACTCTAAATTGATTTTAATTTTGCGTCTGAAAACATGAAGAACTCAGGTTTGTGATGTTTGATCAGCTTTTTTTTTTGTGTGTTAAAAAATAGCAAACACAATTGTTCACTTGTCCATTAATTATGGTGTTTCTCACTGTTACTCTAAAAAAAAAAAAAAAAAAAAAAA